ATGTTATTGAATATCATTGCAATAACACTGATTTTTTGCTTACTGTCTTCTCACCTATGTTATAGCACAAAGTTTCAATTCCAGAAATCACGAAGCAGATTGATTTCCTTTGATTGAAGCAATTTCAATTTTGCATATTTTATTACGAGTTGATTTACGTCCAACAACAACATATCCTCTGTACAAATGACCTTCTATGTCTTCGTATAAAGACGGTGTAATAGAGCGACATATCCAGCTGTCTACTTTTCACCTACCGCGATAATTTTGCGTACATTTATATCCACGTAAAACTGTTAATATCGTTAAATAATTCTCCCTTTGTTCTTTTCTCTAACTTTAAGTGCGCAAAGAAAGAACGTAAAATAGTTAGTCAAACTTACATTATTTAAAAGAGTTTCTACAGCCTGCTCAGTACGACTAGATACAAATACAAGTCTTAGCAAGCTGTCTNCAGATACAAATACAAGTCTCGGCAAACCGTCTGATTCTCCGTTGTTGATTTTATTTTTAGGATTCGATTTCAACAGTACGTGACAGTTTGCACCACCAAATCCGAAAGAATTGACACCCACGTAACCACCTTCCCAAGAAGTAGGTTCTGTGACGATCTTCAATCTACCTTCAATTATGGGAGTATGTTCTTTTCGCGGTGTTTTGAAGTGTATAGTTAATGGGATTATACCTGTTTCCATCGCTATTAACACCTTCAAACCGTTTCGATATATTAATTATAACAGAAACAACAGAACCATAACTATAGATTGATTAAGTGTAAAAAAATGTCTCAAACATTATTACATACACATAGTTTAACTTTTAAAGGCACCGTTAAAACAAACATATTCACATACCTTTGCCATTTGACAGAGACCACTGGAAGACTCCGAATGGCTAAGATTCGATTTCACCGAGCCCGATAATAAAGGACTGGTACTTTTTAAGCATAACGCTTGGTCGATAGAGTCTACTTCTACTNAAAGGACTGGTACTTTTTAAGCATAACGCTTGATCGATAGAGTTTACTTCTACCGGATCTCCTACCGCAGTACCAGTTGCACGGGCCTCCATGTAGTAGAGCATTTCGGTTGTAACACCGCAATCATCATAAAATTCTTCTAATATTATCAGAATTGGGAAACCGTCCTGAAATACCAGAGATCACAATTTCCTCCTTTGGAAAGACTTTCGCATATGGATTCTACCGTTTGCTGCTTTCCATCCTGCAGGCTCGCTAAAATAATTATAAATTGATTTAAACCGGAAGGAAGAGGATTTTCAAATTTTTCCGGTAGGATGAGTATAACGGTCAAAATGGGCAGCAAATGAACTTGCAATTTTA